GAAGGACCTTAAGTGCCATTCCCTGCCCCGAAGAACAACTACAACGAGAGAACATATTTCACACTCGTTGTACAATCCAAAAGAAGGTATGCTCCCTAATCATTGATAGTGGGAGTTGTTCTAATGTTGCTGCCAAGACCATGGTGGAAAAGCTTAACTTAAGCTTGTTTCCTCATCCTAAACCTTACACGATTCAATGGTTGAATCAAGGTAAAGGTTTACGAGTTGATACACGCTGTTTAATTTCCTTGAGCATTGGCAAAACCTACAAGGATGATATTTGGTGTGATATCATACCCATGGATGCATGCCATGTCCTTTTGGGACGTCCTTGGTTGTTTGATAACAAAGTGCAGCACGATGGTTATCTAAACACTTATTCATTTCTAATGAATAAGAAGAAGATCACCCTCACACCCTTACTTCCCTCCTCCTCTTCCACTGTCCAAAACAGCCAAGAAAATCATCCTACTCTCATTTCCACCATACTCCAATCTGAACACCATGAGTTCAATGAATTTAAAAACCTCATCCTCCTTGATCTTGAAGAAACTGAACCCAATATTGTTCCAAAACAGCCCCACCCTCTAGCCCAGCAAATCCTTGAAAAACATGCCCATGTATTTCCTGAAGACGTACCACACGGTCTTCCTCCCAAAAGAGACATCCAACACAAGATAGACCTTATTCCCGGAGCTGCTTTGCCCAACAAACCGGCATATAGAATGAATCCTGAGGAGACAAAAGAAATCCAGCGTCAAGTGGATGAGTTGCTAGAAAAGGGATTCATTAGGGAGAGCCTAAGTCCTTGTGCTGTCCCGGCCTTGTTAGTACCAAAGAAGAATGGTACATGGAGGATGTGTTGTGATAGCCGTGCCATCAACAAAATTACCATAAAGTATAGGTATCCCATACCTAGACTTGAAGATATGCTGGACGAGCTACACGGTTCTAAGGTCTTCTCAAAAATTGATCTTAGAAGTGGTTATCATCAAATCAGGATTTTTGAAGGAGATGAATGGAAAACTGCTTTCAAGACTAAGTTTGGTCTTTACGAGTGGTTGGTTATGCCTTTTGGTTTAACTAACGCCCCGAGCACGTTCATGAGATTGATGAACCAGGTCCTGAAGCCATTTATAGGTCATTNATGCACCGGTGTTAGCTTTGCCTAGTTTTGATAAATTGTTCGAAGTTGAATGCGACGCTTCCGGCGTTGGCATAGGAGCAGTATTATCCCAAGAAGGCCACCCTGTGTCTTATTTTAGTGAGAAGTTGAACGACACCCGAAGGAGATATTCAACTTATGACAAAGAGTTTTACGCTCTTGTACGATCTCTTGAGCATTGGAGGCATTATTTTATTAGCAAGGAGTTTATACTCCATTCTGATCATGAAGCGCTGAAGTACATCCAAGGGCAAATAAACTCCGACCCCGTCATGCCAAATGGGTCGAATTCATCCAAACCTTCACCTTCTCCATAAAACACAAGAGCAGAACCCTGAACAAAGGCGCTGACGCCTTATCCCGGCGACATTTATTACTAACGGTACTTAGTACCAAACTTGTTGGCTTTGAAATGTTGCAGGGATTGTACAAAGATGATGAAGATTTCAAGGAGGCATACCATAACTGTCTCACACGGCCCTCTGGTAACTTCCTCATTAAAAACGGTTTTCTGTTTTGTGGCAACCAACTATGTATCCCTAAATGTAGTTTGCGCGAAACAATAATCGAAGAAATTCATGGCGGTTCTTTAGCTGGTCATTTCGGGATGGATAAAACTTATATGATGCTTCAAGAGCATTATTACTGGCCAAAGATGGAAAGAGACACCGAACATTTCATTCGGTGTTGTACTACTTGTCAACTCGCCAAAAGCCACTCCAAAGCCGCACAAGGAATGCATATGCCGCTGCCCATCCCACAAGCTCCCTGGGAAGACGTGAGTCTAGATTTCATCACCGGTTTACCACGAACGCAGCGAGGAAAGGATTCAATCATGGTGGTGGTTGATCGATTTTCAAAGATGGCACACTTTGTTCCATGCCTAACAACTCATGATGCTTCACAAATTGCAGATTTATACTTTAGGGATATTGTCAAACTTCATGGCATTCCCCGAAGCATGGTTTCCGATCAAGACAGCAAATTCTTAAGTCATTTTTGGATGACTTTGTGGAGAAAAATGGGTACTAAACTTAAGTTTAGTACATCAAGCCACCCGCAAACCGATGGCCAGACGGAAGTAACAAACCGAACACTTGGTACCATCCTTCGTGCCATCATCAAGAAGAACATCAAACAGTGGGAAGAATTGCTTCCTCATGCCGAATTTGCTTACAACCGCAGTCCAAGCAAAACAACAGGCGTTTCACCATTTGTTACTGTTTATGGTGTTAATCCCCTTACCCCACTTGATCTTAATCCAATTTTAACAGATACAAAGTACAGTTGGGAAGCGGAGAAAGGAGCACAGGAGATACAAGATATTCACAACAAGGTCCGTGCAAAAATTGAGAAAATGAATGAGCGTGTCAGTGAAAAGATCAACAAGCGACGCAAGAAGATGGATTTCCAGCCTGGAGATCTTTGTGGATCCACCTTAGAAAAGAGCGTTTTCCCTCAAAACGCAAGTCCAAGTTACTGCCCCGAGGAGATGGTCCGTTCGAAGTTTTAGCTAAGGTCAATGACAACGCATACAAGATAGACCTACCTGGAGACTATGGAGTTTCAGCCACGTTCAATGTCACGGATCTCAGCCCGTACTTTGAACCCGAAGATATTCCGAGTTTGAGGTCAAACTCTTCTGAAGAAGGGGAGGATGATGTACCCCGGGATGCTCCTACATGCACGGAGGTTACACCACAAACCATAAAACAAATCAAAGGGTTAATATCTAAGTGTTATGATCCTTTTTGGGCTGAACTCATTAACCTTTCGTACACTAAAACCCAAACCATAACCCTGCTCCTCCAAAGCTCTTCTTGATATCAAGCCTTTCCATATCCTTTCCAAATATCCAAAGTCTTTTATTCCCATTTAATAAACAAAATAAAGTCCTTTCTCTTCTTTTTAACCCTGAACGAGAATGAGGTCAGAAGGACAAGCCTTGTGTATTATTTCTACTTCTGCTGTTCCTTTTAATTAAAATAAAACCTCCCTTTCACTTCCCCACTTCAAACCCACAAATTTCCCAACTCTTTTACCCAAAAATCAGGCCACATTATGTTCCACAAAACAAAAACAAAATCAGAAAAAAGTTTTCCTTGATTGAATAGTGCTGATTTTGTCCTGTTGTTCAAAACCCAATCCCATTCATATCCTTCAGCATATGGCCGAATTTCCCACTCCAAATATCCATAAACACAACTCCATTTACCAAGGATAAAGATAAAAACATCAAGGAACCAAAATCAGTGATTGAATAGTGCAAACTTTGCCACATTATCCTTAATTGTCAAAGTTACAATTTTCCTTGATTTCCTTCTCACATGGCAGGAATTAATGAACCATACTAAGCCAAAATCCCAGCCTTTTAATCTCCTTTTCCTGGTCAATGAGTGCTGCCCACTAGGAATAATAACACATGGATATTAATCACATGATTTGTAAGAAAGTGAAGTGTAATTTCCCTTATTTTTGCATTATATATTTCGGCCATGAGGCCTTGTAAAAATCATCTCATTTTCATTATCAATATTACTCTTGAAGTAATCCCTGAATTGGTGTGAAGCTAGTTCAATCCATTTCCTAATGAAATATCTCTAAAGTTGGCTACTTTTGAGTGTGTGTTAGGAGTCTATTTAATACTTTAATAGTGATTATTATAGTATAAAATAGATAATAGCCCCAAATATATAAAGAGTGTGTTTATCTCTTACATATTATTTGGTTTATCCTTTATACAAAAACCACAAAACATTTCCCTTCTTTTCTTCTATTTCTGATCCTGAACCCATAAATAATCGATTATCATT